GGGGGGGGGGGGGCACCGGAGCCTTTCCTTTTCCCACCCTGCCCCCCACCCCCTAGAGGCACCTTACCATTAGCTTCCTCTCTCCCAAGCCCTAAAGGCCCTTCCTTTGCCTCTATAACTTGTTTCCTAAGCCCATTTCTTCTAGGAATTACTTTTCCCTCCTCTGTGATTAATGAAATAAATGTTCTCTTATAGTTTGGGTCTTGGCTCTGAATTCTTTCCTAGCCAGAACCCAGGTACCAAGGTTGCCGAACCCAGGTCTGGTGTGACCCCATGGGCCTAACACCCAGTGCTGTTCCCACCACCTACCACAGATATATAAATATACATATATATGAAACAAATTATAGCACACCATACACATTGTTTTGCACATTCAGCAATTTATTTTGCATACCTATCTACAGAGTTGGCCCACTCTTTTCATTAGTTGCATAGAATTCCATCACATAGATGTATTTTAATTTTTTAAATTAGTCCTTTGTTACTGGACATTGTTGATTTCCAGTCTTTTGCTATTACTGGTAGCCTCCCTTGGAATAAAAATTGTGCCTGGCCCACTTCCTCTCCTTTTAGTCCCCTCCCTTTACAGCCCCACTCATCTTCCAAGGATCTAAAACCTGGGAGTTTTCAGAGTGATAGAAGGGTCTTTGTTATTTATGATGGAACCTGATAGTTTATGCTAATGAGATAACTCAGGATGAGGGTTGGCCACACCGGAACCATATAATTAGAGGATTGGTGCTTTGGATCACAGTGATATCAGCCTGACCTGGGGAGGGAAGAGAGATGGAGATTAAGTTCAATCTATAGTCAACGATTCAATCAATAGTGCCTATCTAATGAACCTCCAATAGAAACCCTGGACACTGAAGCTTAGGTAAGTTTGTAGAAAGGTGGGGATGGGTGGGTGGGAAGAGATTAACCAAAGAATTTATATGAATATATGCATAACCCATGGACAGACTGTAGTATGGTGAAGGCCTGGGGCCAGGGGTGGGTGCTGGGTAAAAAGGGCCAATGGGGGGAAAAATGGGACATCTGTAATACTTTCAACAATAACAATAAATAAATAAAAAAATAAAGGTGTAATTATCAGTATATTTTTTATGGCTTCTGTGTTTATNAATAAATAAAAAAATACAGGTGTAATTATCAGTATATTTTTAATGGCTTCTGTGTTT